AAATAGAAACAGAAGGTTCACTGCCAAACTCTTTTTATGAGGCCACAATAACCTTGGTACCCAAGCCTCACAAAGACACAACTTAGAAAGAAAACTACATACCAATATCCCTCATGAACACCAATGCAAAAATACTCAATAAAATACTGGCAAACCGAATTCAAGAATATATCAGAGAAATCATCCACCATGACCAAATAGGCTTCATCCCGGATTGCAGGGATAGTTTAACATATGAAAATCTATCAACGTGATCCACCATATAAACAAACTGAAAAAGAAAAACCAAATGATCATCTCCCTAGATGCTGAAAAACCCTTCGACGAAATTCAACACCCTTTCATGATAAAGGTCTTGGAGAGGTCAGGGATAATAGGAACATACCTAAACATAATAAGAGCAATATATAGAAAATCAAAAGCCAACATGTGTAGAAGACTGCAGATAGACTCATATCTATTGCCATGCACCAAACTCAAATCCTAATGGACAAAAACCTCAACATCAACCCAGCCACACTGAACCTCTTAGAAGAGAAAGTAGGATGTACCCTTGAACAAATTGGTATAGGAGTCCGCTTCCTGAACATAACTCCAGGGGCACAGACACTGAGAGCAACAATTAATAAATGGGACCTCTTCAATCTTAGAAACTTCTGTAAGGCAAAGGACACAGTGGACAAGACCAAATGGCAGCCCACAGACTGGGAAAAGATTTTCACCAATCCTATATCCAACAAAGGGCTGATCTCAAAAATATACAAAGAACTCAAGAAACTAGTCAACAAAATACACACAAAAAAAACCCTATTAAAAAATGGGGTACAGAACTGAAGAAAGAATTCTCAATAGAGGAAATCAAAAAGGCTGAAAGATACTTAAGAAAGTTCTCCACATTCTTAGCTATCAGGGAAATGTAAATCAAAACAACTTTGAGATACCATCTTAATCCTGCCAGAATGGCTAAAATTAGAAACACCAATGACAACTCATGGTGGAGAGGATGTGGAGAAAGGGGAACACTCCTCCACTGCTGGTGGTAATGCAAACTCGTACAGCCATTTTGGAGTTCAGTATGGCGGTTCCTCAGGAAAATGGGAATTAGTTTACCACACGACCTGGCAGTCCCCCTCTTAGGCATATACCCAAATGATCCACATCCAGGCAACAAAGACATCTATTCAACTATGTTCATAGCAGCATTATTTGTAATATCAAGAATCTGGAAGCAAGAACCTCAATTGAAGAATGGATAAAGACGGTGTGGCACATCTACACAATGGAATACTACTCTGCAGAAAAAAATAATGGAATCTTGAAATTTGCAGGCAAATGGATGGCACTTGAAGAAACCATCCTGAATGAGGTAACCCCATCACAAAAAGAGGAACATGGTATGTACTCGCTCATATATGGATTTTAGACCTAGAGCAAAGGATCACCAGCCTATAATTCATACCACCAGAGGAACTAGGACACAAGGTGTATTCTAAGACATCCACATAAAGTACCTCACAGAAGGGGGAAGGGACAAGTCCCCCAGAGGACAGGGGAAGTGGGGGGCAGTGAATGGAGAGAGAAGTAGGAGAAAGAGAGGGGGAGGAGAGGAAAACATGTGTGACCAGGAAGATTGAGCCTGGTTAGGAATAGAAGATAGGAAAGAGAGAGAGGGAGAGAGAGAGAGAGAGAGAGAGAGAGAGAGAGAGAGAGAGAGAGAACATAAAATAGGGATCCAATATTGGTTTGAAGAGAAAGCTGAACCTAAAGAAAGGTCAGGAGACCTACAAGACTGCTACCAACTAACAATTTGTGCATCCATGGAAAGGCTACCATAAATGCCCTTCCCGGATAGTGAGATCAACAACTAACTTATCCATGGAGCCCTCATCTAATACCTGTTGGAAACAGAAGCAAATACCCATACCTAAACACTGTTTCGAACTAGAACCCAGATGCAGATGGAGAGGACAAGTCCAGGTTGCAGAAACACATAGAGACAGCTGACATGAACAAGGAGGAGCTAACAGCCCCCCAGACTGATAGCTGGAAATCCAGCATGGGACTGACTCAGGCCCCCCTGAACATGGGTCTCAACCAGAAGGACTGAGCAGTCTAAGGGACCTCAGACAGTGGAACCCTGGTGCACAAAAGGACCTTGCACACACATCCCCCATGGAGGGATACTGACTTAACCTAGAGACAGGAGAGAAGTCCTAGTTCCTACTTCAAATGACCTGGCAGATCTACATGTCCCCACCTGGATGGCATTGCCCTACATGTGGAATTGGGGTGGGTGGATGGGAGGAGAGGGTGGTCAGGGTAAGAGGGAGGGAGGGAAAGAGGGAGGAAGGGAAGGAGGGAGGGAGAGGGAACTGGGATCGACATGTAAAATAAAAAATTGCAAAAGAGCACTTGTGAGGTAGAGGCAGGCAGATCCCTGTGAGTTTGAGGCCAACCTCATTTACAGAGTGGGTTCCATGACAGGCAAAGCCAAAAACCCTGTCTCAGAAAACAAAATGCAAAAGATTAAAATATGTGTGTCTACTTCCCTACTTTCACATGAAGAAAATACACAAGAGGTGAAACCACTCTTAGGAGAACATGTAACCTTTATGGACTTGATCCTTTTACTGTCTCTTAAGCATCATCAGTTTGAGTACTAACCCAGCCCTAGCACTCATCAGCTGTAAAGTCATGGATAAGGTACTTCAACTCCTCCACTTCAATTTCCTTCAACTTAAAAATGGAGATAGTAATATATGGCTACCTCACAGGGCTATTGCCCAAGAATAATGTGAGTGTACTTTGGAAACTAGTTTGTACTTGACTAAAAGTAGTCATTGTGACTATATTTTTTAGAGGAACAAGGAGAGTCTTCCCTTCCAGTTAGAATGAAGAAAAGGAAGAGGAAACAATTTCTCCATAGGCAGAAATCTCTGTTGCATGCATTTGTGGAGCTCCAGCTTCATTTGTACATGAATTATAAGTGTAGAGACTTGGTTAAAACTTGAATCTGGCAAATGAAGCCAATGTCACAGTTGGAAATCTGGGGGGGGGGAACAAAGCATTCCCTGGAGACACAAACCAAAACACAACAGGCAGGTATAATTTTGGGGCCAATTCTTGGCCATCTTATTTTGAATCAATGGAGGGTTTGGAAATAGGTGAGTTATAGCCACTGATGAATAGGGAGCACCACTTTTGTGAATTCACTCCTCAGCTGATGGCTGAGCACTCATGATTATTTCATAGCTAACAACTAGGCATCGAGTATTCAGAAGGCTTTACAAAAATGTGTCAAAGGAAAGGTCGGCTGGAGTGGGGGACATAGCTTGTCTAGCACACATAAAGCCCTAGGTTCAATCTTCAGACCTCATAAAACTGGCCATGATGACTTGCATCTGTAATCATAGACCACAGGAGGTAGAGGCAGGAGGATTTGAAGTCTCCTTGGCTACACAGCCAGTTCAAGAGCAATCTGGCCTACATAAAATCATGCATTATAAAACAACGAACTCACTAACTGTAAGCTTGCTTTTAACTAGGTCTGTGAAGAAACAAAAGGTAACAACTGTCTTCATTTTTTTGTCTGGAAATGAAGCTAATATTTAGATCCAGCATGAAGGAGAGGTCTAGTCCAACCCTTGTATTTCATAAAGGACATGAGAATTAGCATATTGAGCTGACCAGCTCGAGTGCATAGCTGATGAATAGCAACAATGGAACTAAAATTCTACTTAACCCCACAGTTGTGTTCCCTCCACCTTCCTCCTCAACCTATCCTGTTTCTTCCCTCAGCATTATCAGCAAAACAGAGTTTGGTGGAAGGGTGAAATTTATAATCAGTGTCATATCTCCATCATCCTGCCAGCCTCAGAGGAAGATGCCAGGAGAAGGAGCAACTGCCAGCCCCCAGGATGGTTAAAGACCCCCACACAATGGTTTTAAGTAGGTTTTCAAGCTTGAGAGTGGTAAGCAATCCTAGGATGGTGACAAAGATCCACTCAGAAGGCAAAATGACACAATAAAAAGTAAGGCACAGCTTGAAGCAGGATCAGAGCGCTGGCTACCATTTGAATTATTCATAACCTAACCAACACGGGACAACCATTTTCAATTTGCACCAGGCCTTTCAAGTTATGTGATGTGGCTGGTGCTATTTCCTCTGTGACAACTACAAAGAGTTGGCCTGCACACAACCACTACTTCTAGCCCTAGACAAATGGGACTGAAGGAAAGCCCTGAGAATTTCATCCCCTCGGTAACTTCAGGGAGGGAATAACGTTGGGAAAGGTAAGAAGGCCACAGCGCAGCCTTTGACCTTTCCCAATCCTGGCAAGTCAGATGCCATCATAAACATGAGCCCAACCACACTATGCAGTACCTGATTCTTCAGCTTGTGCAGCTGCGTTCTAGTCCTCTGTGGCCAGGGCTAGGAGCCTAGATGCTGCCTCAAGCGGCGACTTTGTAGTGACTTCCTTCCAACAGGGTAACTCACTCTATTCCCTCAGAGTGGGAAAGGAAGGCAGAGTTGAGAGAAGGTGGCAGGGGCAGCAGTGCCTAAACAGGGTAAATCTCCACTCTTCGAAGGGCCTCGGCACTGCTGAGGGTCAATTTGGTGTCAGGAAGTTAGAGCGACTCAGGTTTCAGGGTGCCAGGACTCTAGGACCACAAGGTGGCCTATCTGCCAGGACTACTGAGACAAGGGCTCAAAATCCACTTTGAATTCCGCGCCACTGAGAAGGGGCGTGGCCACAGAAGGCGGGGTTTCCTGTGGAACGTCTGGGTCTGGCTTCCTATTCTGAAAAGTCTTACAATCAGAGAAGCAGCCACGCGGGTTCCATAGTGTAGCGGTTATCACGTCTGCTTTACACGCAGAAGGTCCTGGGTTCGAGCCCCAGTGGAACCACATTTTTTAAAAAGCCAGTCTGAAAACAAAACCCGGGGACAATTTTTTTCTTTTTTCTACCTGTATTTTTCCTGACACCTTTATATCTCAGAAGCGAAACGGCAAACACCTCTTCTCCACCAAGGTTGCAGCTGCTGTTGCCAGATCCGAGAAATAACCCAGAGTGGAGGCAGGGCGATTTGGAGCTTTATCTGCTGTTTACCCCACCTCCAAGGTAATGAGGGATACTTGACAATGAGCACCCCCGCAGCGTCCCTTCCTCCAGAACAAGTTGACCCTCAAAACTTCCCACGAAAATACGTCAACATAGCCCTGCAGCTGAAATTTTTAAAGGTTGATTAAGATTAAGGATTTACTATCTTATTCAACTCTTTAATATCTTACTCAACTCTAAAATCCAGAGCAAGAACAAAAGCATAGTCCTTTTCAATGAAGCTGGAGGGTTAGTGGAATGAATGTTCTTTTTAGATAAGATTTCGTATACAGTTTAGAATAAGTGTCATGATTTTAAACGTATTAATTAAATGTAGTCTTTGGCAGATTCATACATGTATATCCCTATTACTCTCACCCATATGTTGATTGATGACTAAATAATTTTGCTCACGTTATTACAGTTCTGCTGCAGGGAGTACTTCTTTCAAGGGGGTGAAGGGACGTTTTATCTTTGACAAAAGTATGAGTGAAAGGTTTCTGGGGTCCTGGGGGTCAAGTGTAAGATGATGGCAGCAGAGAACTGACTAAATGGGGGAAGAGAAATTTTAGGCTTTTTTTTTTTCTTGGCTTCTCCCATCCCCAGTTTTGATTACACAGTATATTAATTTACATCTTTTTCTAACTAAAAAAAATGTAATGTGATTTCCTGGTTAACAGTCAATTTACTCTTTTTAAAACCTCAACCATTAGATTGCACCATTAGGTACCGTTAAGTATTCATATTGATGTGAACACATTTCCAGAAATTTGTCTTGCAAAACTGAAACTCTACATCTATTCACCTTGTTCCTCCCATCAACTTTATTTTCAATGGCCATGTAATAATGGTAGCTGAGCTTGCCAGGCATGAACCAGTACTTTGTTTTGTTTTGTGAGGCTGAGAGTAAAACAACACTTTCCATCTTAAGCTAAGCACCTCCAGCCTTGCTATGTGTTTTGTGACATCATCACATTTCAACCTCAACAGGATCCTGTGAAGTAATTATTATTATCATCATTTTACAGACAGAAAATTTGCCTTGAGGTCACACCATCACAAGTGTGTGCTATGGAATTTCCTCCCAGCTTGACTTGGGAATCTGTGCACTTAGCTAGCTAGCTTCCTAACCTTGGACGTTCTGATTGTTTCCATGTTGTCATTAACATAAGTAATTCAACACTGCACAACCTTGTGTATAAATGAGCCATTGTCACCAAATACAGTGTTTTCCTGAGTGAGCAGATGTCAACATAGCTAGAACACTGTAACACTTTCCTACAAACAGGCTGTGAAACAGTTCAAGGTCACTCCCTACAAAATTATGCTGGAGAAAGAATTAAGGACCCAGGTCCAAACATCATTTTCTCTTTTCTGCTGTTTCTCCATTTACATTTAAAGGAGCTAGCATCAGTTTCTTCTTTGCTAAACCAATTACAGGTCAACAGTCTCTTCTAAGAGTTCCTGTTGAGGTAGGGAACTGTGTGGGTTAACTAGAGGGGAGCTGAGTGGAAGACCTAAGAAGTAACTGGAATAAGATGCTTAGTGGGGCCAGTGGCTCAAGTTAATCACCTGCTCCTAGGCCAGCTCCCCACTTCAGTTAGACAGAGCTGTGGCCAAGGACGAAGGGAAAATGACAGGCAAGATCGAAGGCTTCTTCCTACTACTTCTCTTTGGCTATGAAGGTATGTGTTATTCTGACACTGACATTTATTAAATATTTAATAATGTGATTTAATTAAGAAAATAGTTGAAATAGAAATAAAAATCTGAATAGTAAAAATTATTGGGTAACAACATGACAATTATTTAACAGGCTATTAATTTTAAAAGTCATTTTTTGTGTGGTTATGTTTGTCACTGTCTTGCTGTTGTCTTCCTGGTTCCATGAGAAGCCTTTTAAAGTTCAAATGATATTTATAATCCAACAGAAAGAAAAGCATAGAAATTTGTTCAAGCAAGTGTAAATTGCAACAATTAATGAGAAATCATGAATTCTTGGAAAGTTTAGGAGGCAAAGTTAGAGCAATTATAGAATATAATATTCTAAACCTATTACTGAGGGTTAAGGATGAAGCTATTAATAGCTCCACTGGGACAAGTGTAAACGAGGACTGTCCCAGGCAAATTAGGACAAAGGGTCACCCTAGTTTAAATATGGATTAGCATAAGGCCAAGTACTACTGGAGTATGATAGAAGTTTAATAAAATAATCCAAAGAGAGTCAATAAAGCCTAAAGACGCAATATACTCCGTGACTTTTAGATTTCTAAATGTGGACCTGGCAGGCATAATATACTCAAATAAGGACAGATTAAAGCCAAATTCTAAAATGTCAATCAATTAAATTTAAAATTGTCTCTCAATCTTAGAAATAATAGTCTTTCATGCCTCTCCCAACTCTCAAGCACCTATCAATTTAAAATTACTTTTAAAATTCATACTTAGAAATATTAAAATTGGTTGAAGGGCTGGAGATGTAGCTCAGTGGTACAGCCCTGCCCAGTTTTCATGAGACCCTGGGTTTAATCCCCAGAAATACTATAAAACAAACAAACAAACAAAGCCCTACTTCATCCTTTATCTGGGGTAGCTACACATACCTGCAATCCTAGTACAGGGCACACTAAAGCAGTAAGGTCATGAGTTCAATGCAAACCTCAGCTACTTAAGTTTGAGGTCAGCCTGGGCAATCTGAGACCCTATATCAAAACAAGGAGGAAGTCTAGGCTATATAGGAAGGTCCTGTCTGGGAGGGAGAAAGGAAGGAAAGAGGGAAGAGAGGAGGAGACAAAGGGAAGGAGTGAGGGAGGGAAGGAGGAGGAAGGGAGGGAGCTGATTGAATTATTTTTTGTGGACATTGAGTGTTAGAGGGAAGGGAAGAGGAGTCCTCCCTCCTCTGCAAGGGACCTGTCAGTCAGACAAGATGAATACACATATGGGTCAGAATTCCTGACTTATATCATTCTCCTCCATTTTTTCCACATATGAATAAATAAATAAATGCAACATATTACTATAGATTATAATTACATAATATAATTATAACTGTAATTTTATAATATTAATATATAATAATTCTGTAATTAGTATATACAATTATATATAATATATAGTAAAGTACTCATTTTCATGAACTAACAGGTCTATTTCTATTTGGAATGAGTCATGAAAACAAAAATCTCAAAAGTCATACTACAAACCCTAGGATATGGGGCTTTTTCTTAGGTTTCTTTTAAAATTCTTATTGTTATTTTGATGCAGGGTCCCATACTGAAGCCCAGGCTAGCCTTCAACTCAATATGCTGTCTAGGCTGGATGTGACTTCATAGCAATCAGCCTGCTTCCACCTCCTGAGTGCTAAGATTACAGGCATGAACCACCACATCCAATTTCTAAGATGTGTTTTTAAGGGCGGTTTATGTAACAAGTTGCCAGAGTTCCATTCTGGCCCTTTGTAATTAAGAGTCAGAAATTTGTGTCTTTTTTTGTTTGTTTGTTTGCTTGCTTGCTTGTTCATTTCATTTATTTGGTCAGGCCCTGTGCATGCTAAACAATGGCTCTATCCCTGAAATATATAGCCCACTTTTCCCAGGAGCTTTTCCAGGTTTTCTGATATTTCCAGGTTTTGTTGTTTCTCTTTGTTCCTTGTCCCGTTTTTTCCCCCACAAAACAAGCTCTAAGCAAAGTCTTTGATCCAGAGACCCCTGGTTATCAGACAGAAATTCACAGTGCTCACACTTAATTTCTCTTTCACATGGTTGGCATTGAGATTCATTTGTTCAATACTCTGTTCTTTCAAGAGCCCTCTGTCTGGGGTTGGAGAGACAGCTTAGTCTGTAAAGTGCTTACAACTCATGCATGAAGGGTTCCATCCCCAGACCCCTTGCTTGAAAACATCCAGCCATAATAGCTGAAGAGGTGGCTTTAGCAGGTAAGAGCACTTCGAGAGGACCTGGGTGTGGTTCCCAGTGCTCTGTAATTCCAGTTCCAGGCGCACAAACAGTTCCTTCTAATCTCAGGCCCCAGGCATGGTGCATATGCATGCAGGTAAAACACTAATACACATAAAATGAAAAATAAATAAGTCTGAAAAAAAAGCCAAACATGATACATGCTTATAACGCCCATACTAGGGTCTGAGCCTCCCTGGCCTTCAGGCCTAGCCTACTGGTTGACTCCAGGCCATGCTGGAGAATCCCTCTCTTCAAAAAGAGAGAGGGAAGTAAAAGATGGCTCTTGAGGAATTGTTCCCCGACTTCCACAAGTGCATGTCTGAATATCTGCAACAGTGTAAACATTAGAACTTGGCACTCCGAATCAGAATAGGTCCCCTCATCTGACAATGCTGCTCATTGGTCCTCCCTGTCTGTCTAAGTTACTTTTCTATTGCTATTCTAATGCACCATGACCAAGGCAACTTATAGAAGAAAACAGTTTATAAGGGCCTTCCAGTTACAGAGGGTGGGGCAATGACCATCATAGCAAGGACTTGACCCCAATCAGACAGAGTGCTGGAACAGTAGCTGAGAGCTTCTATCTTGAAACAGTCACAAAGCTGAGAGATACCTAAATGGGCCTGGTGTGAGTTTGTCTCCAGTGACATGCCTGCTCCAACAAGGCCACATCTCCTAATTCTTCCCAAACAGTTCCACCAACTGGGGACCAAGTATTGAAATATATAAGCCTGTGGGGGGTTGTTCTCATTCAAATCAGCACACTGTCCCATGGATAGAAATCCTCTAAACATTTACGTGTGTGTGTGTGAGTCCCAGCGATCTGATCTTCCTATGTGTGAGTACATGTGTCTCTGTGTGTGAATCCCAGTGATTTGATCCTCCTGTGTGTCTGAGAGGGAGGGAGAGAGAGAGAAAGGGAGAGAGAGAGTGTGTGTGTCCCAGTGATCTGATCCTCCTTTGTGCTTATGTGTGTGTGTGTGTTTGAAACAGACAGACAGACAGACACACACACACACATACACACACACACACACACACACACAGAGAGAGAGAGAGAGAGAGAGAGAGAGAGAGAGAGTCCTAGAGATCTGATCCTCCTATCTCCATCTATCACCACAACACTGGTATTGCAAGCCCAGCTTTTTACACAGCTACAAGGATCCAAACTCCAGTCCTCATGGCTGCACAGCAAATGCTCTTAACAACTAATCCATTTCTTTAGCCCCTAATACATCTTTAAATTAGACTATCTTCTCATGATCAGTAACAAAAACAAACTGTTGAAAGCAGGGGAGGACAAGACTTTTTGCTGTCCTACAATGTACTAAACCTTGTGCATGGCTGAGGAGCTCCAGATATATCTACAAAGACCAAACATATCATCTATCCAAGTAGGAGGGTTGAGTGGGAAGTGTTGGGAAGTATACATTCTCTCGCCCACCTAACCCAGGCCCTTCACCCCTCACCTTACTTAGAAGGAAACAAGCCAGCCCAAAATGGACAGTGTGACTCAGTGACCTTCTGTGTACTCTACCCAGAGCCTGCATGCATATTGTGGGAAACAGGACAAACACAAGACACAATGACTGCACTCAATCAGTTTATAATCCAGATGGAGACGCAAGCCAACACACATGGGGAAGACACATCCCATTGGACAGTGGGAACCCAAGCACAAAAATTACTTGGCTCATTTTCTGTTTCTATTCTTTGGGGACAGCAGCTTCTTATCATTGTGAAATAAGATTAGTGGATGGGCTTTGTTTCTGCATTGGATAAAGGTTCATTTAGGAGCACACATGTGATCACATTAAGACAACCACTGATAACATAGAACCAAGTTGAGGTTCTATTTATCTTCCACTGTGCATTGTGGATCCTATGCTATTTGTGATTATTAAAACACCCATCCTATTAAAATGTGTTAGTCCATTTTTGGCTATATTTTTTGTACAAAGGCAGAGGGAGCTATCCAGCCTCATCTTATAGGTTCCCTTTGTGGGTGTGACAGCCATTGGACATTGAAGATTTTTGTTGAAAAGCAACTTCATTAGACTTCTTTTATTTTTAATTATTTGTATGGGGAGCAGTATGTGCTTCTGCATACAGATGCCTTTGGATGCAAGAGATATCAGATCCCATAGAGCCTGAGTTACAGGCAGTCGTGAGCCGCCAGAAATAGGTGCTGAGAATAGAGCCAGGCTTCCTGCAAAAGCAATAACGTTCTCTTAACCTCTGAGTCATCTCTCCAGCCAAAGGCAACTTTTTTTTTTGAGATGTGGTTTATGTGCCATTTAATTCATCCACTTAAAGGGTAAACTCAATAGTTTTTCACATACTTACAGGTTTTTGGTATAGAAGATCTATTTTTAGAATAGTTTCATCACTACAGATATGGAATAAATATTTACTCCCTATACTCCCCATCCCCCAGACCCAGCCCCTGGCATCCACAAATTCCCCTTTCTGTCTATAGATTTGCCTTTTCTAGACTTTACACTGAAATTGTATTATACGACATGTGGTCTTTTGTCTTTTGCTTGCTGTGTATCTGTGAGGTTCATCTGTGTTGAAGCATGAAAGGATAACAGATTTACCCATGAATGTGCCTGTCGCCTAAAATAGCAACACTTTCACACCAGAAGCAATTTCCTTCTTTCTTCTTCCCAAGAGGGACCTTATTGCAGCCTGTTGGTTTTCTCCCCTATCTTTATTCGTGTTTCTAA